ATATGAAATATGCACTTGGTTTCTATTATTAGTAGATCTGAACCAGTATTACTCACAGTACCTGTCGTTACTTTGGATACCAGAAATGAACCAGCTTTGCCTATTTCCCTGGCTATTTCATTAGCATAAGGCCCTTAGTGCTACTCTGTTCAACCAAGTATTGTGTCATCTTCATTGTGAGTGGAGGTGAAGCCACTTAGATGCCAAGAAAGGTTTTACCTTCAATAAACCCAGCCCTCCTCTCTATTTTAATGCTTGGGTTAAATTATGGCATACTTTTGGGATAAACTCACCAAACAGAATCCTCAGGTTTGTTTTTGTGGATACCTCACAATCTCCATTCTTTCTTTCGTTAGTTCTTAAACATTCTTTTACTTACTTAGCAGCATCTTCGTACCTCACACCAGAAATGTTTGTGTAATCTCTTAGTGCATATATAGGCAAGAAATCTTTTTATCCTCAAGGACCTCCCCCAAACATTAGAGTTCAAATAGTTATGCAGTCACTCTCACAAATCTTTCTGCAGAAAAATGTTCTTTTTCTTGACTGCCTAAAACCTGTTCCTTTTTCTTTTTTTTTGGAGTATGGCATTTTAATTTCAATGAAAGGGACAGCAATATTTTTGTTACATGGATAGCTTTACAATGATTAGTGTGGTCATCGCCTGAGTATTGTTCATTGTACTTGTTAGGTAAAACCTAAGTTTCTTAAGGGCAGGGTCTTAGGTATTTAAATACTACCTCTAGTATTTAAAACAGTGCCTGGCACAGAGTACATACTCAAGAAATGTTTTGCCAAATTGCTAAGTCTTAAATTTTTCTTACAGTTTATGGAAGAGTGAAGAGGCAGGAATTTTTTTTTTTTTTTTTTTTGAGACGGAGCCTCAAGCTATCCCCCTGGGTAGAGTGCCATGGCATCACGGTCACAGCAACCTCCAACTCCTGGGCTCAAGCGAGTCTCCTGCCTCAGCCTCCCAAGTAGCTGGGACTACAGGCGCCCGCCACAACGCCTGGCCATTTTTTGGTTGCAGCCATCATTGTTGTTTGGTGGGCCCGGGCTGGGGATTCGAACCCGCCACCTTAGGTGTATGTGGCTGGCGCCTTAGCCGCTTGAGCCACAGGCGCTGAGCCGAGGCAGGAATATTTTTAAATTACATTACTGTTTTTTTAAATTAAGGAAATACTACTTAAGCCTATACTTCCATTTTAATTAAGACAATAGGTAAGAATTGTAAGGGCAAGAGGGGGGAAGACAGCCACAAGGAAATGAGATATAACACACAAAGAGGTGTGTAAATGAAGTAGAGAGAAGATTTATAAGTGCTATGGACAAAGAAATGGAACACTGATCTAGAGTGGAGAGCTTTGTGTCAGTTTTTGTCTTTAAAGTATCACTAGCTAGCCTTGCACAGTGGTTCACATCTGTAATTGTAGCACTCTAGGAAGCTGAGACAGGTAATCACTTGAGCTCAGGAGTCTGAGTCCAGCCCGAGGAAGAGCCAGACCCTGTCTCTACTAACAATAGAAAAACTAGCCAGTTCTTGTGGTGGGCATGACAGTCCCAGCTACTTAGGAGGCTAAGGCAAGAGGATCTCTTGGATCCAAAAGTTTTAAGGTTGCTGTGAACTATGACGCTATGGCACTCTAACCAGGATGACAGAATGAAACACTGTATCAAAAAAAAATAAATAAAAGAAGTATCACTGGCCAAGGCTTCCCTTCTATCTTCTTTTAGAGTATGATCTGTTTTGGAGGGGATGGGCACAGTAAAACATGAGAGAGGGTACTGCTGCTACATTTTTGAGGCTGAAATAAGCAAGAGGTTGGTTCCCCACCTTTGGAAAACAGCAGATCCAACAACTAACCCATCAATTCTGCACTGCCAAGGAAGAACTTTACAACTTTGTCCCTGGTTTTATATCTGGACCACTCATACCAGAAGGGTACCAAAGAAAGGGAAAGAACAGCATAAAGGAGAGACTACCAAGCATGATCAAGGGAAAAAAATTGAAAACAGTGACAAATTGGTTGGCTCATCATTTCAGGGTAGGTTAATGTAGAAATGGAACCCAAACTAACCCTTTCACCTCCAGTTTGGCAGAGAATACTGCTTCATCCCCTGTGACTTGTTAGGGTCTGTGGAGTGTTAGCATATGTGATGAAGACAGAGACACACGTTTGTGTGGTCAGGCTTGCCTTCTCTTGTGCTTCTGCCATCACCACAAAAACTTTTATACAACTTTTGGGTTTTGGTACCGGCCCAACGACAAATGATGGAGCAAGCCAAAACCTGACTCATGGCATGAAGCCAAGCTCAGCTCAAGCCTCTGCTTGAAGTAGAGTCACTCACATAAGCCTATGTCATCCAATCTGCAAAGGCATGAGTGAGAACGATTATTTTAAGCAACTGAGACTTGGGGTGGTTAGGCAGCAGCAGCAACTGAAACATAAGCACAGGTCATTCCTTTAGGATACATTTCATCCTAAGAGCAAACTATGCCATCTCTTTACTGCTATATGCTCAGAGCCTAGCGTAGTTCCTGGTACACAGGTGGTGTTTACTCAACGTCTTTTGCAGTCAGATTTGTTTCTTCTAAAAGTAGTGATGTAAGAGAATAAAACTAAAAGGAACTTACTGAATTTAGTAGTCAGTATATGTCCCAACTTTAAAATCACCAATTTCAACAAGGAACCAGAAAGCATGTTAGTGGTGACGAGGAGATTAAGACTATGCCTGGATTTGAACCTAGGCTTCATGAGTTAACAGCCAGGTGGTCGTGGGTTGCCTTCAGTTACTTCATCGGTCTTTCCTCATCTGTTAAATGGTACTACATTAATACCTACCACACAGGACAGTTGTATGGCTTCAGACAATGTATTTCAAGCACTTAACAAGTTGCCTGGTATCTGATAAATGCTATACAGATAGACATATTCTATTATTACAGCCTGAATAAAGAGGATCTTTTTTTTTTTTTTTTT